GTCTCCAGGTGAGAGAGGGAATGATGCATGAGGTGAATGACGGCATCATCTGCTTCAATGCCAGGCTGGTAGGCAACCTGAAGTGGGTCCAATGATAAGCTCACCAGGTGCCGAAGCTGAGCCAGGACCAGCCGCTGCTCCAGGGTCTTCATCAGGTGGGATGTCAGAGCCACCGGCCTGTAGCTGTTGAGGTCCTTGGGGCGTGATGTCTTCAGGAGCACTGTAAACCCCAACAGTCTACCTGACTTATAAAGTTTGTGGATATAACAATTGAAATTCCTCACAAAGTTGAAACAACGTAAAACTTTTCTGTTCTGTTAACGATTCAAACTGTTATAATTGTACATGGCTTAGAAGTTAAGAGTAAATACTGCTTTCTTAATTATGATTTTTGAGTAAATGTTTTTTTTCCGAGCTCCACATGTGTATGTCAACTACGTCATGACGTTTTCTCTCTAACCTGAACGACGTTGACAGAAAATTCTGTTCAATATGGCTGCCCTTCTCGAGCGACTGGAGAGCACATTTGGAGAAACTTGTAAGTAAAACGGAACCTTTGTTGTGTTTATTTTTTCCGTAAAAAAAGCAAGTATATTAATATGTTGCAGCCAAGAACTTCTTTTCGAATGCGCTGTTGTGTTAAAAAGCACAGACCCAGGTGGTGAATAGTTGTTCGCTGTTGTTCGCGCTCTTTTTCAAACATAGATTAACTGTCAGTTTTACAGTTTTAACCGATTAAAACACAAACTGTGTTTTAACCGATTAAAACACAGTTTTAATAAGAATCACACATAAAGAAAGGGTATTAGTGGTATTTTAACGAGCCCTTGCCAACGCAAGAAAGTTGGCGTTTTTACAGCAGCAGCCTCATTGTTCGGCAGGTTTTTGTTTTTCTTCTCATTAGCATCGTTCAAAAGTGACTTAGCTTGCAGTGGCAACTTCTATCTAAAACAATTAAAAGTAATACCCAGATTGAAATATAGCAAGGTGTTGTATATTTAGTGTGCTGATAAAGTTTTCAATATTTTTATTTTTTCTTCCAAGGCTGAAGACCGAAGACAAAAAGACAGAAGAAAAAAAAATTCAGACTGCAATTAATTTCAGGTGGAGACAGTAAACACAGGTGAGTTGAAAGATCTATTGAAGAGTCCTTTCTTCATGGCCATTAAAACATTTTTAGGCTAAAAGACCTGTTTTTTTAAATCATGCCCCTGCTTTGTCACACTGAATCGTGTTGAAAAGATATATTTTCAT